TATGATTTGACCCACTTTGCTAATTACAGTATGTACTTGTAATTTTTTTTTTTGAAAATTTTGACTTTTATTTCTTTCCTTTAATTTAAGAGGATATTAATTGTGACATTTCATGTTCACCTTGGATTAATAACGAGAAGCATGAAGTTGGATTCTTTGTTTCAAGAATTCAAGGCTTTGAAATAAATTTCAAAATATTTAGAAATTGATTTTTAAAATTTGAACTATTATGCGTTCGACAAGTATCTCCAAACGAATTTATATTGGGACTTAAAGAGATTGGAAAATAAATATAAATAGTCTAAACTAAAGAGTAATTTCCTGAAGTTCCGTAAATACTATAAGATGTTTATGAGATGTTTAACATAAAACTAATATTTTGAAAAATCTTACCCAATTAGAGAATAGAGAAAGCGTAGACAGTGAATGAAGTAATTTTTCAGTTGAAGATGTTAATTTAACATATCATTGCCTTTATAAGCCAACGTCTTTTTATAAGCTAGTTGCCAAATTAGTTATCGAATTTATTTTACTTAACTGAAATCAGCGTAATTACATTGTTTAATTTACATTTAGAAAAAAATGAAATATAAACTGGAGTTTGAGTAAAATCAAATGACAGAATTCGATTTTGAGACACTCAGATGAGTATTAGCCTTCAATATCTTTAAACTAACTCAGGGTCATATCAGCATCCTTCAATATTTTTACTAATTTTATATTTTCATATTACACGAATTTATTTCGAAAATTTAATATTAAACTCACTGCCATATTATATTTATAAATTCCTTAAATTTGAATTCAATAACACTTTAATAAAAGATTATTTGTTTCTTATAAAATTTTTGCTATTAGCAAAAAAAAAATAAAAATTCAGACATCAAGGATATGAGTAGTTAAGCTTTAAAAGAATTTTTTTTTGAAAGCAAGTAAAAAGAACAGAAAAAAATGTAAATAAATTAATCTTACCATCATTGTCCTTATAAGGATCATTTTTAATGAAAGACTATGGGTTGATACACAAACATACAAGAAATGATAAATGGTTTTAACTTTTATGTTAATAATCAAGGATACTTAATTAAAATGAACTTAAAATATAGTAGTTAATAAAGAGTAAAAATAATTTTTTTTTTAAAAAAAAAATTTTTTCATTAAAATTATTTTTCGAATTCATTTATTATACGCATAATTAAATAGACAATACAGAATGATTAAAAAATTATACAAAAATAAAGTGTGATGAAACTGGACTAGACCGTTCATAATTACAATTAAAAAAAACAACAACAAAGTGTGCAAAATAAAATTAATAAGGGTGGGGGTCGAAAAGTAAAAGTAGTGTTTCTTTTGGATTTTATTCTTAGGTGTGCTTACACAAATACTTATTTCACTTAGTTCGGAGCCCGATGAACTCAAGTTGATATATTTTGAAGTCAGGGTCTCATATATATTATACGAAGATACGAGTAATATTTATTAAAGAATTGTACCAAAAACATGTTTTGTGTAATGAAACTGATAAAGAGTAAACGACTTATGAGCAATTGTGACAGTCCGTTAAATTAAACACATGAAATGGCACCCTTTATTCATCAAAAGTTTATTTGAAGGTTAACTCTCAATATTCTTGTAACATCTACTCTCAATATTTTACTTGAATTTTGGATTTAAAATGAAAACTTGGCACTTAAAGCGGAAATGTTTTCTTGTTAAATTTTTTTTAATATTTTTACTTAGACAATATAATCTTATCCATTTGGAAAACGATCAACAAAGTAATAAAACTATTTCTGAATTACTCAACGAGGGTTTTATTTAGAATAGCTGCCACTTAATTACAATTTTCTTTGAAAATCATCCCATTTTCATCACTTACTCTCATTTTTCTTATATAACATCATAAATTAAAAGATTCTTTACTATGAACAAAATTCATAACAATTTTTTGCTGTCCTGTCAAAGAAAACTATTTAAGGCATTTGTATTCTTTAAGAACATTTACAAAATTTCGGATTAAGCACTTTGACAGAGATAAATTTGATTGGAAAATAGTGTTGTTAGTTTTATTTTCTATATTAATTCTTTTATTACTGCAAAAAATTTAATGAATTAATTATTTATAAAGTATTTTTATAGAAAGGACTAAATTGCAAGGATATAAATTTATTTGGATATATTATAAAGAAATAAATTTCTGACAGTTATTATTACTGTTGATCTTGTTTTTGATACAGAACAATTTTTCAAGGGCAACTCTATTCATTTTGTTTACAAACACCGTAACTCGATTTTAGAATTAAAGTCCAAATAAAACTGAATTTAAACTTTTATTTTTATATTATAAAGAAGTAATAAAAAATTTTAATAGTAAAAAATTATAACGTTTAATATTGAAATTTTATTTCTATTTATATTTATTAACTTAAGGAGAATTCCTGGTCTTCTTATACTATGATGTGAGTAGTTGTACAAGAAATCACGGGTTAACTGAATTATTTTCAAAAATGCAGTATTCACTTTGCTTTACAGAGAAGCGTAATGTAAATATCGAAATTTTAATATTTCCAGTAGGGAAAATTTCTATCTTAGAATTGAATATTTGAAAATATTGGGGCGCCTTATTCATTTGTAGGAGGTATTTGTAATAAATATTGTAAATTGGAATGTTAACCGGGAGTTACAAATGTCACTTTTAATTCGGATTTTTTGTCTATGTTTGAAGTTGTCCGATTATATTAGTGGTAAAAATTTTTATCTTTGCTTCTGATATAGTAAATTTTAATAATTACGCAAAATATTTTTAAATTTTCGTAAAGCTCTCAGTAAAATGACTAAAAGTGATAGCACAGGAAATAAAAATCAAAAGTTCAAGTTTTCGATAATTTGGAAAAATGCTGTCTGACAAAATGCATATTTTTAACTGCATTGAATCCAGGAACCTTTCATGTATCTAAAAACTTGTTTGGGCATTGGAGCTTCGGTCAATCAATGTGGACTACAAAGTTTGTTCTCGATTTTTTCAAATTCTAAAATCGATTCCGACCCTAACTTCAACTTAAGCTTATTTTTACATTTTAGACATTCTTTTCAATTTTCCACTCAAATCTAAATTTTTAAAACCATTGAAAGTACTCTTCCGCAACCCTGCAAATACTCACTGTAAAATTTATTAATAATTGCCAATTTCTACAGAAAGTTTAATGACAAATTTCATAATTTTCAAATTTCCTGGTAAAAGTCCTTTATTTTTGAAAGCATTGATTATTTCTTTTTTCTTTAACATCCGCCAACATTGTTTATCGTAATAAAGTTTTAATATTCCACAATTAGACACGAAAATAAAAATAAAATCCTATTCAAAATGAACATAAAAAAATTTTCCTCTTTCTTTTTTCGCATAAAAATTTAAAATATAGTCAACTTTTAATAATTCGAAATACACAAAAAAAATTTATTCCTTATTTTCCATAATAACTTTAACGTTCATCGTTCATGATTTTGTTCAATTTCTAATACAAAGAAAATAAATTTCCACGACAATTTTCACAATTACTTTGTATCGACAAATCTTGGAGAATCAGAACAAAATCACAAAAAGAAAATAACAATAAATTGTTTTTAATAAAATTGATTCTTTTGTTTTTTGTTCTTGTTCTTATTTTTGATATCTCTATGCCAATACGAATTAACATTTCTTGGAAAATATCCTTTAAATCGTCATCATATTCTTCGTCATTTCCTTATTTCTCATTTCAATTTTTACAATTTAAAAAACTCAAAACAGAGTAATAGAAAATGATTTTTTCGTTTTTCTTTCACTTTATGCCCATTTAGAACGTTTGATCAATTACGGTCGCTAACAGCGACTTATTGTTTTTATGTAAGAATCAATTAAAATTTATTTCGATGATTCCATGGGTTCACAGTTTATTGTTTATTTTTATAACATTCTATTAAATAACTTCCGGGTTATATTTGCAAAGTGTTTTAGTTAGCAACAAAAAATGTTTTTATTTCTTGAGTTTATCCTTTTGTTTTTGGCTTAACAATAATGTTGATATTTATTTGTTACATAGTTTTATGATTCTTTAGGAACAACTAATGTAGAATAGTTGAAGTAAAATATAGTAGCACAATGAAAATCCCTTTAGTAATGCCTGATATTACTTATTCATATTGGAAAATGAAATAGCAAAAAACAATGACAATAAAGAAAATTTTAATTAGGTACAGAAGTTATTGTACCTCTGCATGCTAAATTTTAAGACAAAAGGAGTAATTGAATTATTTTTACAAAAAAATTCATTATATAATTGCGTTAAAAATTATGATTCAGAAAATCTAAGTCTATTATTCAAATAATTGCACAAGACTCTCTTAAACGAATTCAATTTAGTTTAAACTTATTGGAAATTCCATGGGTTTTATTTTATTTAATTTTCAACAATTATTGGCAAATGGTTTCTAGACAAAATTGAACTAAAATTGAAATTTTTAGCTGCGAACTACAGCTCTTAAACCCCTTATTTCATTTAAACTACATACTTATAAAAATACTGGTACTATAAATAACACTTATTTTTTCAAACCTTTGAAATTTGCTAATACTATGCAACGTGTTTGAATCCTCTACAACATGTTTGAAATGAAAAGTTGCTATTAACTATCCTAGTTTTTTTTGCGTTATATAAGAAAATTCTCTTGGCCTTGCAATGTTTTTGATAGCTCTGCTTACCTATTAAAGAACAAATCTTTTATAAACAATTTGCCTTAGACATCAAATGTTTACAAAAATTTGTAAAATGAGTCATTAAGAAAGCGTTATAAAAGTTTATTAAATCTGGTTGAAGATTTGGAGTTATATAATTTAGGTTATACGTAACGCTGTACAACCTCCGTTATTAATTGTATAGCATTGTTTTTATTAATACTTACTTATCTCTTATTGAAACTAATATTTTACCTTTTATATTAACTTACTCCATTTACAACAGGCGAAAAAGAAAACGATCCAACAGCTAAAGATGAAGTTCAATTAGAAGATTTCTTTTGGACTGGTTCTGGCGATGGACCACCAGATTTTGTTAAAAATGTTCATACCGGTATAAGTAAAGGAAATAATGTCATCGTTAAGACTGAAACTGTTGTAGCCACTGTTTATGTAAATGAAAAGAATGTAAGTATAAAACATATTCCAAAGAAACAAAGTAAAACTAATGATTCGGAATTAAAAGAAAAATTATAAAAAAGAAAAAAAAATAAAAACGTTGTATACAAAATTGGAACTGGATGAATTCTAAAAATTCATAATGAAAAGATTTTATTTCAAAATTTTAAACTTTAAGGATACCGACAGTTCCTTAACACCATTATGTGTTGATTGTAAAAATGATGGAAAACCACCATTGAACGTTAGTACAACTGATAGACGTTACTGGTTACTTACAGTAATTTCAGGATACGTTAAACCACAGGATCACACTTCATTAGAAAATAAGCTAGCCAATTTGTATCGCGTTGCATTCGCCAGGTAATAAAATATTTTTTTAATGAAATTGTAAAAAAAAAAATAAAAATTATATTGAATTGATTTTTTAATTAGGCAACAATCAAAGCATTTAGGTCTTTCCAATGGCGGACTTGATACCAGAAAATCAGATTTCTTTAATCGATACAAAAGAGAAATTAGAAATGAAAGCCTTCAAAGTAAAATTTAATTAAAGTTTTCCTTGTTAAATTTATTTTACATTTCTTGTTTTTTTTTTTTACAAAATTTCTTAATTTAGATCAACAACAATTGCAACAATCGGATAACAATGGAATACCAAGTACAGTACTAACAATACAAGCAAACAATAAAAATTTTAATAATTCACCGTTTGGACCATTTCATATGGGAAAACAAATATCAATAGCATCTGCGATACCATCATATAAATCTACAGAAAAATTTGATATTGGTGATATAACTGAATTGCATACAATACCACCATTAGATATATCTAATAAGACACTGGATGAAGTACAGAAGAAAGGTAAATTTGTTCATTTCTTCGCATAAATTTTTTGTTTAAAGCACACAATCATACTTTAAAAATTTCAATAATGTTTTCCTTTATTTTCAATGATTTCATTAGATGCTACAGGATATGATATGAAAACAACATCTTTGGATAGTTCAAATCCAATGTTTTCAGAGTATGATGTACGGGTTGCTCTTCATAATGTAACATTACTAAGTGAAGATGAAATCATAAATTGGACTGATAGTGAACATTTAAAAAATGATGATACTGAAGATGAAGATGAAATCAATATCAAAAGGTATTTTAGATTCGTATATCATTTTGAAGGTTATACTTAAAATAATTTTGTGTTTGTTTTCTCTAATGATTTTAGGGAATCACGTCCTTTTGCAAATCAAACAGAAATTATTTATACGGTTTATGTTAATGGTAAACCAGTATTGGCAACAACAGCAGCTGAAGATATGAGATTAGTTGGTGAAAATGAAGTGGCTTTAGTTATGGGAAAAGAAGTTTTTATGAAAGCAGAACGTAAGTATCGTTACAAATTGTGTAATGTTAATTGTGTTTATTTAATTTTAAATGACAAGGTTAATAAAAAAATAGATATACAGTTAGAGAAAAGTTAACAAGGGTTTAAAATTCAGGATTCAGATAATTTCAAACTTTCTTTACAATATTTTTTCATTCTTACAATATTTTCACACATTCTCTAACAATTATTTTTACAGCATTGTGTTCTGGTTTTAGTAGCCCAACGTACCGCTTTTATCCTTTATGAAATAAAAACCACATATGCTAACATTATTTTAATTGAAAAAAGGAAATTGTCAAATAGTTCAAGTTATCTCAGTTCAAAGATCACTAAGAAGAACTAACATGAAATATAAGAAGTCGATGTTTTTAACAGGAAGTTGCTAAGCACATTTTCTTTAAACGCTACAAAAATAGTAAAATGTAGTATTGTACTTCGCAAGAGTTGTTGAAAATTCATTGTTGAAAATTTTTTTTGAATCAAAATACTTTATTCTTCTATTTGCTTGTATTTGAAGTGATTCTCGTTCATTGTTGACATCAGAAACTCAATAAACGGCCAATGAAATACGTTTTTTACCTTAAGGATTTGAAAATGTGATAAAAGTAAACGAATTTTCCAAGTGACTTAAAAAATCTTAAATTTTACTAAACTTTGATTTCTTCTTCCTCAAAGTTAAGGAAAACACCTTAAATTACATAAAACCTGTGAATTTTTACATAAATTTGATAACTTTGTTATTATTTACTCTTTGTGACAACAAAAAACCTGAAAAAAAAAATAACAAACTTTCTAGTCGATTATGGTAATTTCCCATAGTTTGTTTAGTTACCAAGGTTTATTTTGAATCAACTACGAAAAAGTTTGAAAAGCAAATTTATGAGATTTTTCTTTATTTTTGTTCTTCTACTTTCTATTTTCGTGCATTTATCTATTTATAAAGTTGAAAGTTTTGATCAGGAAGTTAAGCAAAATTTTCCTTAGAAAATAATGAACTCCTTGTTTTATAAGTACATTGAAGCAATTTTTATGATGACTCTTATTGATTTAACAAAAACAATATATTTTAAAAATAAATTTTTGATCCTTTTTTTCTATGGGTTACCAATGGGTTTGTTGTTCTACGTTGGGAAACTTTAATTTTTGTAATTTCCAGGACAACAATATTGTGTGGAATTCAATATAGCTTTTAGTTGTAATTGACACTAATATTCTATTAATTTTGCTTTTCTGTATAAAATAGGTTTTTAATGTACAAAATCGCAAGTTTAAAATGTTTGGTTCCCTTATTTGATTAATTTTTGTATAACTGTGTTTCTTTTCTTAAAATACAGGTTGTCCTTTTAAGAACTTGAAATTTTTCATAGCCAACGCAATAACTTTCAAAATTATATTTTACCTTTCAATTGAAATTTATAAGTTTTTCTATGAAATTTTTCGCAGTAGATGTAGGGCTATTCAGTTATGAAAATTTCGAAAGAGACGGAGGTTTAATTTTTTATTGAAAAAGATAGGTAAAAGTTAGCGGAGATATGGTCCATTTTATGGAGGTATAAATAAGATTTTAATCGTTGGAAGAACATTCGTCTAGTTTGTGATCAGTCTACCATGTTCGAGTTGATACATAGGGTATAAAATGGTTCTTTTTACTTTCTTTGCGAAGAACCAAAATGAACGCATGGCAGTACTATATGAAGTAGCAAAAATTTTCTCCACTTATTTACACAAATTCCTTACAAGTGAATGCCTTGATTCTACAATTGAAATATGAAAAAATCTGTTAAAGCATAAAACATTTTGTATTTCTTCCCATTTCTTAAATTTCGTCGACAAAACTTGAACTATATTCTTTTTAAACAAAAGTAAAAAGGGTCAGCAGCTTTTTTAGAAACTCTCTTTACTTGGATTCTATTGATAAAGAATTTAAAAATATCAAAATAAAATTTTTTAAAATTACTTTAATATTAATTTTTTCCTTTTTTTTTATTAATTCAGCTTATTTAAAAGAACCGCAAGCAACACCATTGATTCCAGCTACAAAAGCAATGCAAAGTCCCAACTTTTTCACATATATTCAAACCAACCCAATTCTTGTAACTATAACTTCCATTTGTGTAATGTTAATACTTCTATTACTCCTTGCGCTTTTATTAATGACTCGTGCTAAAAGGGAAAGAAGTGCTGAAGTCAAACGGTAAGTCACTTAATTAAAGTCACTAATACCAAAAATCTAAAATGTTTGTATTTTATAGACTTTCAAGCAGATCGGGTTTATTAGCTGCTGATGAAACTCAAAGATCACATGGTATGGAATCAACAAGAACAGATGAAGGTGGCGGTTTAAGTACGATATCTCGCCTTGATGGAGAATATACAGGTGATGGAGTTCAAAATTATGGATTTGAGCATGAAACCTCCCGTCGAAAAGATGGAGATCGTAATCGCCCTCATATTAGTTTTCCTCTTCCTCCAAACGGAGAATCAAGACCAAGCTCTTCATCGACAGCAAATACATCGGATTCCTCTGTTTATTGTCCAGTTAATCGACCAAATATCGATTTACAACATATGCTTGATGAAAAGGCTGCAAAACTTTTTGATAAAAAAAAAAAGTCCAAAACCCAATTTAGTGGAACTGATGAACATGACAAAGAATCTGAAAGAGCACAACTGGAACAAGAAGAGCAACAAAGAAAATCACATCATCATCATCATCACCATTATAAAAAAAATGAACCTGTTTACACCTCCGTTGATAGCGATAGAAAACGAGATAAAAAATCGAAAGCATCAAAAAATCGTCGCCGATATTTATCCGACAATCGAGTTGGTTCAATGGACGAAGCAGATACAAATTCTTCAGCTGAAACGTCAGTATCTAATGACAGTAGTTCTGATAGATTTAAACCAGATTATGAAAATTTCGAACACAACGAAACATACAATTTGCACAATAATTATCACAGAAATAAAGTATTACAAAATAGAGTTTTTACAGACACACATTACGATACAGTTCATGAAGAGCCGATGTCTCCAACAGAAGCCATAAATCGAGAACTTATTAGAGCACTTCAACCTGATGGCAAATCTTCAGAGAATGACAGCATCGGATCATTTTTATCAATGGCTTCAGTTAAAAATTTCCCCAAAAGTACACTTCCTGAACCCTTAAACCGAGTACTTGAACCTGTCTCTGTTACTTACTATGATCACTTCGATGATGGAACTGTAAGAGCTCTTAAGCAAACTGATCGAGTTAGAACTGTAGCTACAATAGAAAAGGTACCTCTTGATAAAGATAATAAACCATTACAAGTTGCAATCGCCTCCCAAAGTGATAATCCTGATCCAGGAGTCGTAGGCCCAATTGTTTGGGAAATTCATAAGAAGAAAATGAGCAAGAATGGTAAGTAAAATAATATATTTGTATATATAAATAGCAACGATAAATGGAGAAATTGCAATTTACAATAATATATCTTTAAAAAAAACACATACTAATTACATAAAAATGGAATCTCATATCGCCATTTACAAGACACAATCAACAAAACTGTAACCAATATTCAATTATTATTTTATACACAACTAGATTTAAACTAATTATTTTGAACAACTTTAAGAGAGCTTAGATAGTCCACTTCGTGATCCAGCAGCTACTAGAAATAGATTTGAAGGACTATTAGAAGATGCCATTCAATTATACGATGACATACCATCTCATCACCCCGGAACACTTGGGAAAAATACACAAACAAGAAATCCAAGCAAAGAAAATAGGGGCAAATCTGCTATAGTTTCAAGGTGAATATCAATTTTTAAAACTTAAAAGTATTAAACACAATAATTCAATTTAAAATTTGACCTTTGTTTCTAGTGTTACGAACCGACCTCATAAACCAAATCAAGAGCCACGTCCTTTAACGGCCGATCGATATCAACCATCTATGAGTAATCAATCAACACAACCACCCTCACCAACTGTTGGGGCATGGAGCTCTGGCGCAACATCACCTCATCCAACAATTGTTCGACCGCTGAGTGCCGGACCATTTCACAGGCCCGAACCACCACAAGTAGATGTAACGAGAGTTTTAGTGTCACAGAATACGGAGAAATCACAAATTTCGGCAGCACCCTTAATAGAAGCCATACAAAATGAGTTACAAAAATTTAAACGAGATAATAGCCAATAAATTGACTTTTAATTTTAAGATCGAAATATTTAATATTAGGAACGTAAAATAAAATTTTAAAACAAGTGCAATTTTTAGAGAAAATAAGATTATTTGTAAAAGTTTAAGAATTTTTTTTTAACGTATAGTAAATTTATTTACGAAAATTATTAGAATAAGATTAAAATAGAACGGAAAATTTGTATGAATATTTATTTGGACAAAATAAATCAAATTAGTTCACTAAATTTTCCAGTCTAATATTCTCAAATTTAATGTAGATATAAATATATTATCGCCGTTGTTTAAAATAATTAGTAACTGACTATGAAGTGAGAACTAGCAAATATTTTAGACCGATCTTTTCAACATTTGTTCTAGCACTCAAATTAAATTTAACTGAGAATTATACCCTATCCTTTATTTGAATAGACAGTATTTAACAATTCTCGTGTTAAATACTGACTATGCCCTAGCGCCAATTTTATATTGAAAAAATCATTGTTTCAAACCGATAACATTTCTCGTAAACATTTTTAAATTGTTACCATAGACACAAACCATATTTGGTTGCGTAAATATTACTATAACGGTACTCGTAATATCATTACAATTAAATACCTAAGCGGCTAAAAACTTTTTTATATATAGAGTGAATTCAGTTTTGTGAGAACTTCGTACATATTTGCTTACGAAATATTTAGAATGACAAGGCGTTCTAAACGACAAGTAAAGTTCGTTTGTTTTTTGAAATGTTAATCCAAAGAAAATCCTTTTACGTGAACCAATTCATCATCAGTTAATCATACAATTACATAATATGATACGTACAATACAAACTTGTACGACCGAGTAATTTACATGGAATAGTAAGTAATTCATATAATGTGAAAAAAATCCCTTTTTCGTAAAATATCCCAATATTTTTTAAAGTTTATACATATTTTTCTGGAAAGCAGATGTCGCTGCAGCTGTCGGATTCAGCCTTATTGGATTTTTTTTTTTTTTTGGTAATTGAACATAATAAGTTTTTTCCTAAAATGATTCGTGTCTTGGAAAACGGATTCTAATAGGAATTCAATATTTTTTTTAAAGAATATGCTGTTGATATACACAAATTTGTATTGTAGAATATACGTAGGAAAAATGAATGAATGTGTAAAAAACTGTTATTTTATTTCCATGTTAAAAAATATAAAGTTGGGTCGAACCAATGGTTTGTATTGTAGCACTTTCCGTTCAACAAATGAGAATACTGCTTTTTTATATATTCTATGTATACCTACCACACTAATGTAACGTACACTATAGAAGAAAAACTGCATTAAAAATTTAGAAAAAACGTTTAAGATAACGGTAAATTTTAACGGGCATTTTGTTTGTTTAAAATTCAACAATAATATGGTGGGTGTTCAGAAGCTTTTTTGCAAGCAAATTTATTACGAATCTCGTTGAATATTTAAACTTGCGGCATTATGTATACGCATATATTACAGTATCATTGAATATGTCAAGATGAATTTGTATTTATAATTTTTTTCATATTTACTTTTTCAGGAGAATTTTGTTTTTTTTTATTAATAATAATGCTATATCCAAAATTAAGAGACAGAGAGCCTTTCTAGTAAATAAGAGCACAGAGCCTTTCTAGTAAATGCAAATTAAATGTCAGTTTGATGACTAATTTGACAATTAAAATTGTTTTAAATTTATGAAGTATGGGTCAAGTCGGCGTTAGTTTTAACGTAGGTTTCGAATTCAGTTTCAAAGACAGGAACTTTTTTAACTACGTATTTATAAGGGTTAAAACCAAAATAAATCAAGTAAAATCAGTTCTGCCATTTTCTTTTCAACTAGAGCCAATATATGTAATATTGAGTTAATAAAATTTTTAATGTTTTTTTTTTGTTTTTATTCTCTTTCATCATCTCGTAATGTCGTAATGTATATAATAGTCTTACAATTTTAATTTTGTTCATTACTTTTATTTTACAGTATAACATATTCATTTTTTTATATTTAAAATTAATTAAATTTTTCTTTTAAATTATTTAAGTATTTTTTTTTGTTTTTTTTTTACATTTTTGCTTCCTAAATATCTAAAAAATTTTCCTCTCGATTTTTTTTTTTTCTGCTGTACTTATAAGATTTTCACCATATTTTTTTCCATGGTGAAAATATTAACAGATATTTATGTTATAATAGTGTTATGTTAAATGTTGTTTATTTTGCATTATGGCATTAGATTATTTTTATTAGTACAATATATGTAGGTAGTTAGTATTAATAATTACAAATATTTAACAATTAGTGTGTGTATTTTTATTAAATTTTATTTGATTTTTATTTCTGTTGTAAAGAGCAAATCACATTTAGTAAGAGAATTTCTTTAAATTTATAAATTTGTAGGTTTTCGTTTTTATACAGGAGAATCAGAAAAATTTTAACAAAATTTTTTTATTTAAAATCAATTTGAAATTAAGAAAAATTTAAATTTTATTAAAATTTTTTTTTTAGATAAATTTCAAATGAAAATTCCGCATTAAAAATGTTAACAAATAAAATTCATTTGATTTTTTTGAAATTGGATTGGAGCCTTCATTCATGTCTGTTAGATTCAAGGAACTTATTTATAGTAAACAAAAAACTTAATGTTTCCAAATTATAGCGGAATTTTTATCTGAAATATCATGAAAAAATTCTACCAGCCGCTTTTATAATTTTTCTTAATTCGAGTTGATTTTGTTTTGTAGTTTTGATTTTCTTACATTTCTGTTCAAAAATTCATTGAATGCTGTGTTGGCATCTAAAACTTGTCTTTAGTCAAAAAATGTGGAAGAAGTTTAAAAGAAAATTTCATTTTTGGTTATTTTTGTTTTTAACATTTTATAATATTTTTTCTTAAATAATAATTAGGGCTCGTTAATATTTTATATTTTTTATTAATAAATATATTTAAATTTTTCCTTTTATATATTTAACTGGAGTATTTAAATTCGTATGATAAAATAAACAATATTGGGGTGTTGGGGTATTTACATAATATCATCGTCATTATTAAATGTACTTCGCTTTTGAATTCTGCCTAATCTTGGGCCAAACCATAAACCATTAACACCAGCATTTTCAGTTCTTTTATCCATTTTATCCATTTGTTGTTGAAGTGATGCAATTTTAGATAATTTACGTAACTGTAATCCTTCTGATCTACCAACACGGGGGAATGGTACTAAACCGGCTCGTTTTGATTCCAGTCTCTCTAAAATTACAAAAAGAAACAAAAGAAAGTTTACAAAATGAAAAGGCTGTTCAAGACTATAAAAATGACGTTGTCAATAATTTCGGCTTAAAAATTTTTAAAGTTTTTGTAATTAATTTTGAAAATGTTTATGGCCTTTAACTTACCATCATATTCTTCGTATGAATTATCAGGTAACATATCCATAGATAAAGCTTGTAGTCTCGGATCACTTCGTCCAACACGTGGGAATGCAAATAATCCAACTGTACCACTACCACCTCGTCGAAATTTAGCTTGTTCAATTTCTGAAAAACATATAGGGGAAATTTTTCTGCTCAATTTTTCTGGAAAAATTTATAAAACAATTAATAGTATTGTAATTAGTTGAAAGAATAAGGGAAGTTTCTAGTAAAACATAAAAATTAATAGGAATTTTTTTTTAAATTCAATTTTTTTTTTTTGTACAATAAAATAAAGAAGAAAAGTTTTTAATCAAATTGTCAAGATTTCAATTGTATAGCAAGACAACAGAAAAGAAAAATAAAAAATCTTATAGCACAGCATGGTAGGTTATTAAATTCAAATACAAAATGAAAAAACACCCACTACTAAAATTTTTCGAATAAAAACTTAAGATGTTACCATTTTATTTCGAATTTCCATAAATAAATTCTATTTTCTAATGCAATTTAATTTTAATTCGTCCAGCAATCTTAGAAATTATTAGTTCAATAATGACTCCAACTCTCTAGTTTCTATCAAATCTTAAGAATTGTTAAAATTATTAAATTTAAGAATTTGCGAATTTATAAAAGTTGAAACTCGTGTTAAAATTTCAATGGTGGCATTATCCTCAAATATTATTCAAGGTTACGGAATTTTACTTTCTAAATAATTGTTTTAAGTTTAAAAATTTGAAAGCACTTTAAAACCTTATTGAAATTAATTATTTTAGCAATACCTACAAAAATAGTAACAGTCCATTTTATTCTTTACATCCAGTTTCTATTACAATAAGGATTCTAAGATGTCAGAAATCTTTTTTTTTAATTCTTTTACAATTTGATCGTATTTTGATGGTATTTTTAATTATTTCTGGGAATTCCTAGAAATTTCTTTTTCAATAAATCTATTATATACTTATAAAAATTAAAGTTAACATTTTAATTTATATAAAATTCACTTAAATCTTTTAATTTTAAATTTGTGGATTTTTTCTGTATGTTAAAAAATATAAGATATTTTTTTAATAAAATTCCTTGTCTATCACTGAAGCGACGTCTACAATTTAATTTAGTTCTACAATATTTTTTCAAAATGTGAGCAGAAAGATAAATTAATTTTAGGTTCAAAGACAGAGCGTGACGAGATGAACTATGTTAATAATTTTTGAAATTAAGAATAAAATATTTCGTTGTGAATTACGTCGTAACAACACTTTAGAGTGAATGGCGGCAATAACTGATAATTTCGGACTTTTGTTATTAAAAAGAAGTTACTACAATTTAAATGTACTTGCAAGAATGTTGAATATTCATTGAAAAGGGTTGGAGTCGTACCGCTATAGTAATTATATGACGAATTAGGGGATCAATATTAGACTTCAAGCATTTTACATTAAAATGGATCACTTGTTATTTGTAATTACTATAAAACTTTTAGTCTCTTCTGCTAGTTAGACTTTTAAATGTCTTTATATATATTGTATAATGTTATACGTTTTGGAGTCCTCGATACATTCTTAAATTAAAATAATAGATAAAAAATACAAATATTTTTTCCCCAAAATACAAATTTGAGAAACTGATTAAAAATATTAGACCGAAAAAAAATTTCATCTAAGCAAATGTTGTAAAAAAAAAACAACAGTCTCGCATTTCATTTTAAATTTTCTGAACTTTTGACTTCGTAAAATTTTCAAAGTTTTCTTTTCTATATTTTAGAAACTTTTTTTCTTTAAATAAAATTTTGGTTTTCTTAATAAAAAAAAAATACAAATGTATAGCTTAAGGCTTATGAAAATAATAAAAAAAAATTATGCAAAGAATTTTTTTTTAGACTTTAATAAAAAAATGAAATCTTTGGCATGAGTCAAATGAGTCAAATGAAATCTGCAGTTCTTATTTGAATGAAGTTCTGCAAATTTATTTAATTCAGGACTTTAATATTTTGTCACATTGTAAAAAAATTATTTTTGATGGTATTGTAACAGATTAAGAACTAAAAATTGCGTGCCTATATGTAAGACCTTCATTTTCATTTCAAAATAATATTTGGACTATATTCGAAATTAAATTTTCAAATTAAATAACTAAGAACAACCTTCTAATTTTATAATTAGCTTAGCGTATGTGTTTAGATTACCCATAAATTAGATTTTTCCTAGTTGATCAATTGACTTAATCGGATAATCTTCAGAAAACATTTTTATTTAATTGATGCAATCAAAATTTCCCCGAAATATTTCTGATTTTTATAGTGTTTCAAATAATAAATGTAAAAATCATTGTAAAACGACAATCATGTAAAAATTTTACCGCGCTTTTTATTAAATTTATTGAATCTTTTAAGAGCATTAGAAAAATATAATTTCATCACCTTAAATCATTCTATAGTAAATGATTATTATAGAAAATCATATATAGAAAATCAATAAAATATTCTCATTATTCAACATAATTTCTAAATTAAGTACTTAAATATAAAAATAATGCACATACATATCTCACTCATACAAGCATTTCTATATGCAGCGTGTGCAGTTTTATTCCCATAGAATCCTTTTATTTTATAATAATTAATTTTACATAAACGGAAAATTGAATGTGGTATTATCAATTTGTAATTCTAATGAAAATATTTTGTTATTTTAATGGAAACAACCGATTCTTTGCTGCATAATAATTATTGAATTACATTTATAAAACCAAAAATAAATTAGATTTTTATATTATAAAGTACTAAAAATATACAGAAACCATCATTTTTATACAAAAAAAATATGATGCCATAAATACCAAAAAATATTAATTGTCCACCAATTCAATTCAAAATATAAAAATAATATATTGGGAGTTCTTAGACATGATGTGCGTGAGTATTTAGTGAGTATTTTATTATTTAATTTTGAAATAGAATTGTGATTTTTTTTTTAAAATTCTGTTTCGAATGAACAGATAAAATGATTGGGCTTTTATAATAATAAAAATATTCCATTTGACTTTTACGGATTCTTTTGGCGGAAATATTGACATTATTTTCAATTTTTATAAAAATATAGAAGACTTAATAACACCCATAAAATATAATGAAACCCAGAAATAATACGGGCGACAGCATTCATATTCAGCCTTGTCTAACAAATTAGATGCCCGCTTGTGGACTTTGTTATGAATTTAAAACTCAATATAGAATATAATCATGTAGGTACATACTGCAATTATAACAATATAGTTTAAAGAACTTTATAAAGATATTAAATCAGTAAATTAATCAATACTAGGTACTTTATCTATTGAGTTATTATAAAAAATATTGCAATGCCATTGTAATAAAATCTAAAAATTTTCAAATTTAATATGGCAAAATCTAATAAATTAAAATTCTTCCTTTATAATAGTCGAATCGTTAACACTTCAGTTGATTCTCATTACCTCAAATATCTTCTACTATATACTTTTGTTCATGTATGCATATGTATGTATATATGTATAAGTTCTTATTGTATTTTTTGGGCATATCAATTTTTCGAAAAATTTATTAATAACTTTGAATTAAATTTTTGAATTATGAGACGAACATAGCAAATTTCTTTTAGCAAAGGAAAAGGACTATTTTCGATTTTCTTTCTACACTAAAAAATTAAACATTTATGAGATTTTATTTAAAATTTCCTTAAAACACAATTCTTTAATATAAGCAAAAAGCATAGCATATTTTTCGGGTTTTTTTTTCTATCCTATTAAAAAGTTTCGTTTTCCAAAAATCTTAATTTTCACTGAATACTCAATATACTTAATAAAAGACCTAAAACATAAAACGAGTGTATAGTTAATAAAAATAATTTACGTCATACGTCTTGTATTTACACACATAGTAGATCACAGCAAGGATATAAATCACCTATAATTTCACATATCAAGTTACTTATACACTCATTTTTACAAACACTTCCAAAAAAATTATACATATACACGCACATTATTATAAAATAAGCAATAAAAGAACAATAAAAAAAAAGTTTGTTTAACATTAAAACCAATTCAAAATTTGTCTTCCTTTTCTTAAAAATTATTATTCTCGTTCTTAAAATTAAGTGCTCTTAATTTTGGTGAAGATTGGAAGCTAAAAAAATATTCATAATTTCCGGAACCTTTATTGCAAACAACAAATTCATCAAAATACATACATACATACAAAACTTTTTTACAGTAATGTGTGATATAATTCCTTCATATAGAGGAGATCCATAGGAAAACATACCAGAATCCTTCTAACATATGAGGTGAAAATTAAGCATATTAAAGGGGAAATTTGATATCAAAAATTCAAAAATAAAAAATCATTTTGAATATTTATGAGTTTCACCTGTACCTCTTTTCATCAAATGCGTAGACAAAGAAAAAAGGATCATATAGAGTGTGTGCTTGTCAGTGTGTTTGTAGATAGTAAATCTCATTATTAAAAACCATATTTGAAAAATATTTGATGAATTTAAAGCAAGGCCATTTTTATTATGAAAGACAATACATTTGTCTAAATCTTAAGAGGATTTTTTTTTTATATTTTGTTTTTTTGACCGCTTAAGGATATTTTATATTAGGAAAGTCAAAATAAATGATAATTGAAAATAAAGAAAAAAAAATGAATTTTTGATAAGGGAATTTAAGGTTGAATTGATTTTTAAATTTAAATAACTGAAAGAAATTATAAAGGACTTCATTAACTGTACTATATGAGAATTTTAATGTTTGATTGTATGATTTGAATATTTGTGGTAATAGTGAATCGCAATCCACTTCACGTCTGTTAAATGCCTCAGACATATGAATATTGCTGGCCAATATTAAAAAAGTATAGAAATTGAACTTGTTAGAAAATAACCTAAACATAGGTGTGGGAAATACACAAAAAAAAAACATTAATTTTTAGAGATTGAAATTATTATTAATCGGCGAAAATTAAACAAAGAAGTAAAATTTTTTTTTTAAAAATTCTCACCACTGTAAAATTTTTTCAAGTTTTGTTGAATGTTTTGGAGGCCGTATTAAATATTATTCTCGTTCTTAAAATGCGTTACACTTAA